AAGAGGGACGTATGATCTTCCTAAAAGGGGGAATTGGGTCCAAAACAATAACCCTCACAAATGTATGTGTCCTTAAAAGAAAACAGCATAACTGTATTAGCAAACATTACAGAAACTAAATGAATTTGCTGAAGGCATGATAATTCTAGGAGGGAATTCTAACTTAGTTTTAGACCAGCTGAGGGACTTATCCAATGGTAATTATTCGATATTCTTTTAAAACATATCTAAATTTTAAAAAGCCTTTTTTTTCACTACAATTGATACAAAATACAGCGGGCACAACATGAACATATGAGGGATTATTATTTCTTCTCTAATATACATAAGAAATATACACAATCTTGTGTCCCACTTCCATTTTGATTTAATTAAAGGTAGTGAGATAGGCTTAGTAACTTGGAGTAATCATGCTCCTAATAGAGATGTCGCGAACCATTCGCGAACTTCTCGGAAACGGTTCGCCACGGTTCGCCACGAACCGTTCGCGGCGAACTCCGGTCAGCTGACACATCCCGGCCAATCTCCAGCAGACCCTCCCTCCTAGACCCTCCTACTTCCTGGACAGCATCCATGTTGAAGGCATGTTGTCATTTTTACCCATGCCAATAAACCTGGGAAATTCCTTGCACTAGAATTGAGGAAACAGTGTGCTAGAACATTTATTCCAAGGATATAAGATAAACAGGACATTACAGATATAACTCTAAAGCGATTGCATCTCTGAGTATTACACAGAACTTTATAATATTCAATCTAAGTGTACACAAGAAGAGTATAGTCATGTTTTGGAAATGATGAAACCCTATTTATATGAAAATATATTTATTTGTGTTCTAGACACACAGAGAGGTGAAATGGGGAGATTAATCACAGTTGATGAAATTGAGCAATCATTTCATTATTCTCTAGAAAGAATCTGGACTCAGATTTGGACCAGATGGCTTCATTATAAATTATCAGAAATAATTTCATTCTGAATTTTCAACCTTATTTTTAAGAAGCGTTAATTTCTATTTAAACATGTAACAGTTTAAGTAGCTCTGTGCTACAAGCAAATATAACTTTAATATTAAAGTAAGATAAAGAATATGACATTTGTGGCAGTTATAGGCCAATCTCTCTTCTGAATCTGGATCTTAAAAGGTTTCTAAAGTATTAGCCACTAGACTGAAAAATACAATCCTAGATCTCATTCTGGATGACCAATTAGGCTTTGTTGGAGGGAGAGAAGCACGCGATAACACCATTAAAACAATAAATGCTACTAACTTAGCTTTAAATTTAAAGGTCCTCTCAATTCTGTTATCAATTGATGCAGAGAAGGTGTTTGATACGGTAAATTGGTTAATTCTGTTTTAAAAGATATTGGATTTGGTAAGAACTTTTTAGGATGGATTAAGGCATTATCCAATGTTAAAATTAATGGAATTTTGTCAGAGGGAATTGAGATAAGCAACGGTACTCGTCAGAGTTGTTGTTTGTCGCTTCTGCTCTTTATTCTAAAAATGGAGCCCTTTCTTAAAGCAATTAGGTGAAATGTTCCTATCCAAGGCTTCAAGTCCAAGTCAGGTAAATATAAACTACCCACATATGTGGATAATATTTTTGCTTATTTTAATCTAATTCCCTGATATCATGTAAAAGTCTTGTTCAGGAAATCTCCCAATTAAGTTATTTTTCTAATATTAAGATGAACCCTTCCAAAAGTGAAATTCTTAATATTAAATTAGACAATTTGACTTAGACTTAATTAAAAAAAAAGTATCACTTTAAAATTTGTTTTTGTTTTTAACATATTTGGGTGTAAATTTAACTTAAAGATTAGTATTATACAAACATTTTTCCTATGTTTGAGAGGATGAAAATTTACCTGCCCCATTGGTTTTCTGCAAATCTCTCCAGGTTGGGTAGAATGAGAGCTATCTCAATGGATGTTCTACCAATGATTTATCTTTTCCAGACATTGACCATTCATATTCTCAGATCGTTTTCTACTACCCTGCAACATCTTATGACTCAATTTTTTTTTATTGAAAGGGGAACCCCATAGAATAGCTTACCAGTATCTAATGAGACTCATACATCGGGAAAGTATTCTCTTTCACTATTAGTGTGCCTCTCACCTGTCACAAATTATCCAGTGTTCCCTAACTTCTCCTACACCATAGATTTCTTTATAACAGGATATTTTGGATACTTCAGTATCTGTGGTTCCATGGAAATGTTGCCCAGAAAAACAGGTAGAAAAGAGAGAAAGAGGGGAAGAGAAAATAAATATAAAATTAAAAAGCGTCTGTGGCGAAACCAACCTCGCCACTGTACACTGGAGAAGCCTGATTGCTCGCCTGCTGCCTTTGGACTATGGCCCCATGTTAAAAGACATCTTTTTTTTCCCTGCAGAAAAGACTTATTCGTGCTTTTCTGCCGGGTGTTCGGTAGATTCAATCTACCGAACAACCGCATGAATGAATAGACCACCTGGGAGCTGGAGTGTGCCGGCAATTAACCTCCCTGAAGCTGTGGTTAACTGCAGCTTAATTGACGAATGCTGGGTGGCCGCCATTCGTATCACGAGCACGAGGTCGCGGCCATTTTAAACATGTGAATGCACAGCGGTGTTCGACGCTTAATTCATGGAACTGAAATCGGACACAGTTTTGCGCAAACTCCGCTGAAGCCGCCGACCTCCCTTCTTGTTCGGTGAAAGTGCACGAACGGCCCGGTGTTCACTAGTTTTGTTTGAGTGTGTTGTGCCCCAGATAGGAATCCCATGGAGCCCATTCGCATGAAACTGACTGTGTAAAGACTTTGGCTCCATGGCGATTAAACTGTATTCGTGTGGTCTGAGCGCCATTCGCTTAATAATGTGCGCTCAGACCTGAGCTATCTGGGGATATGTAGAACGTATATGTTTTATGTACTGAATGTAACTGTAGGTAATTTTATGTATTTTACTGTTTGTTTTCTGCCATTTGGTTAATGGAGTTTTGCCTCTGTCTTTGGAGATAATTGAATTACTTCCCAATTATCTCCAGGGCAGAGAGGAGGGATTGTGATGCATTGTGGGATGGTTGAAATGTGTAAGTCTGTGATTGGTCCTTTTACCCTTTGTGTCCCAGTCTCCCATTTGGTCCCCTAGGGGAGTGTCCACCAGGTGGGAGACCTGCATAAAAGCCGGGCAGTTAGCCCCAGTAAATCAGTTCCTGCTTAACCCTCAAAGTGAAGTGTCGTCTCATTATTGGGGGAGGATTTACTGTATGCTGTTAGAGACTGATTGCCAGGAGTGTAAGCCGCTTGGGGGCTTTTCCTGTTCGTCTGCTAGCAGCTATTCGTGTGTCTCCAGTTCGGGAGTTTCGAGTATTCCCTTGGTTGCAGTTTGGGAGTTGGTGAATTCGTGGGTTTGCAGTTCAGGAGATTGGTGCTTGCAGTAGCTGTCGGTGCAGCTGAAAAAGGGGAATATCGCCTAAACGGTTTTTAACCTCTCGTGGGCAAAATGGTCCGTTACAGCGTCACCACCAATAGACCATCCAACACTTGGGCACACCAGTCTAGTGTGGAAATCGGTTATGGACATGGGTGCGGTGGATAACTCACTAAGCCCTTTGTACCCCATAACCTACAATAATGAGTTTCCCCAGGATTTACATCTAAAGTATACTTCTGGAAAGCTCAGGAGGGAGTTACAAACATTAAACATTATAAATTTACTCAGTTAAGTTACTACAAGTGAAAATTAGCTTCAACCTGATCATGAGTATAGAGGGTCCTCTTTTTTTATTCACAACTTTGACATTTTGTAAATTCTTTTAGGCCATCTTTGGTTGTGCCTTTGACGCCTTACTAAATTTGAAAGACTATGTGACCAAAAGGAGGCAGTGTCTCATTGTCTATCTAAAGGTTATACAATTTTAATGGAAAGGTTCCAGATCTGCTGTATTATTGCAGATGACATCTATTTCTCTTCAAAAAAATGAATGGAAAAAAACTACCTAAGTCTTTATTGTTAGTGCTGACCAGCTGCCATGTAATTAACCCTTGCGCCACCGTGATTTTAAAAAAAAACTATTTATCAACGCTGGTTCATAGCACTAAAGGCATGCAAATAGTTTGCAATTGAAGCCTTTAATTCATTTAGGCCGCCTGTTGGTGTTTCGAACCGGCTGCAATCTGGACCATTTGGGCCTGAATTACATAATTCAGACACTGTTAAATTGCATGAACAATGTCCAAATTTTGCAGTCTGAATGTCCTAGTACACAGCTGGATGGTTTTGCACTATTTGGTATGAGGCAATTCGGACTTTAGGGACTAATCCTGTTAATTTGAAATTCCCTTTAAACGTTCCCTTTAGTGAATAACACTGTTAAGGTACCATGGTGAGAACTTCCCTTTCCTTTATATTTAAAGTATAAGCGCTCCAAAGCTATAGGTATTAGTGATGTCCCGAACTGTTCGCCGAACTGTTTGCCGAACGGTTCGCGAACGGTTCGCCACAAACGGTTCGCCACAAACTCCAGTCAGCAGACACATTCCAGCCATTCAGCAGCAGACCCTCCCTCCCAGACCCTCCCACCTCCTGGACAGCATCCATTTTGAAGCTGCATTGTTAGTGAGCTGTCCAGGAGGTGGGAGGGTCTGGGAGGGAGGGTCTGCTGCTGATTGGCTGGAATGTGTCTGCTGACTGGAGTCTGCTGACTGGAGTCTGCGGCGAACCGTTCGCGGCGAACCGCGGCGAACCGCGGCGAACCGTTCAGCGAACAGTTCAGGACATCACTAATAGGTATATCATGGATATTCAAGCTCAATTATTTGGCCCCTAATGGCCTCAATGAGGAATTAGAACAATTTTGTGTTGTGTCCTGATGATTGATTTCTTTATTGGAATGTTTGGCTTTTTAGAATTTTTTGATCAGCTAGCCCTTTCTTGCAGTGGTATTTTTGATTTTGTTTTTATATTTATTTCTTCTTGTATTGTTTCCAAAGGCAAGCTTTCCATAATACACAGCCTACTGTACAGGGTGAGTCAATAGTAGAAAGTCCTGCACTTACTTATGGTCCAGAGTTGAGATTATGACTCCTAATAATTCTCCTCACATGAACGAATAATCAGCCTTTTTTTCCATCAGTATCTGAACATTCCTTACTTTCGGGTTTTTCACTTTTGGCCACAAAGTGCTGATAATTTCTCCTACATGCAAAATATAGCCCAAGGCAAAGCATTGATTTCAGTGTACTGGAAACAAGGAGAATAATTCATTCTAGTGTAGCACTTCCTCATTCGGGTGGTCCTATTTTTACTGGAAGAATTGAAAAACAGAGGAAGGAAAAGGCACGCCCTCAACGTTAAACCTAGATCAGCTGAAAAATTTGGAACAGATCACTTGCTTACAATTTATTTTTGTGTTTTGGGAACTTGTGTACAGCATAGTAAATTATGCAACGTAATGGCTCGTTTGTATAAGTTGAGTTGTCGATGCCTATAGCCTGTTAAATCAGTTTTCAAAGAAAAAAAAACTTGAACTTTTGAGCTTAACATGAACCCTGATACTTATTACGTACGAAAGACGATCTCAGACATCAGTGACTGTTGTGATGAGAGTCAAAGACTGCAACCCTGGAATGTTGGAAACCATCCTCAATGTGCACCAACTTCCGAAACCACTACTTAACACAATCACTTATACCTCAATTTAATATTGTTGGATACACTTTTCAAACAATCTAAACATTTTGATTAAACTTTTAAAATCATTTTTCAAAACATTTTAAAGTGACACTAAAGGCATCAAAACAACTTATTTTAATGAAACCTTTTTGGACTGGGAGAAAGCCTGGATGGAGGCCTGGAATGATGGGCCCGTCTGCCAACCAGAGAGGAAGACAATTCTCCCTCTGATTCCACAGGCTGAGGATCAGGCACAACACCGTGCAGCAAGGAAGAGTTAGAATCCACTCCTATGGAACGACTGCAAAAGGGTAAGTAAAGCTTCCCTAGACATGTCAGCTGCCCCAACATGCTCTTTTTCCTGGCACTATAGTGCCCTGAGGGTGCCGCCGGGCTCTGGGGGGAGGAAGGGGTTAAACTTACCTCCTTCTCCAGCGCCGGGCAGGGAGCTCTCCTCCTCCTCTCCTCCCTGTTCTCCTTCTCTTCGGCTGAATGCGCATGCATTTACAATGCTTTTCTATGGACGCTGGCGTCTTCTCACTGTGATTTTTCAAGAGGCAGCCACTGGAGGCTGGATTAACCCATTTATAAACATAGCAGTTTCTCTGATGTTTATAAAAAAAGGGTTAATCATAGCTGGACCTGGCACCCAGACCACTTCATTAAGCTGAAGTGGTCTGGGTGCCTATAGTGGTCCTTTAAATTTGATTAATAGCAGGAAAGTAATAGAAAGTAACTTTCAATTCACAGGGAACTACCACGTGAAAACAGTCCCTTTGCTGTGCTCTAGTGGTGTGGTAAGTTTTCCCAGAAATTCCCAGATAAGTAACCCCATACGCAAGATTGTAACCAATTTGGTTACCATACCAACCACTCCAGGCAGCAATCATGCTCCCAGCTCCTTAGTCACTCCGGGAGTTAGCCTTTCTTTTTACACTCCTTAGTACATCCTACTTTCTCTGCACTTGCATGGTTCCCAAATTCTAACCAACTAAACTGACCTGAAACCCTCAAACATACTGTGTCCATGGTACTTGTAGCGGAGTAGTAGTATTATCCACAGTATCTCCGTTGGTAGACAGAATCGAGCAGGTACAAAGCAGGTAAAATGCAGGTAGCGTCATTACAATCCCTTCCTCCCAAGAACTAGACGACACATAGCTTGGGTCAACTGAGGTTTTAATCAGAGGCACAGTATTTATGGGATTCCCCATGCAAGGGGTTTCCCTACTGACATTCCAGGGGTGGCACAGTAGGGGACTACATGGGGAACTGAACAATACATACATTTTCCCACCATGCACTGCTGCACGAGAGGGATACTCCCACGAGAATATACCGTTAAGTGGATTATCCCCCCGTGCAGCAGAACTTACATTTCACATTAAAATACATAATTCCCATAATATTCCCTTCATTTAAATGAATGGACGTTCGGTAGATAGCTGGGGTCTGAGCGCACAGTTCGTGAGAATTCCGCTCAGATCCCAGCCTAACTAACCGAACGCCGCACGAAACACACATTAAATTCAAGTTCTACTCAAAGTACCAATTGACATCAGGGGAACAACCTACCGAACGGCTGGGGCTCCCGAACGGCCTGGAAGTCCAGTGGGGTTTGCGCCATCGAGTAGCCGATTTTGGTTCCAGGCGCTCGACGACCAAACCCCGCTGGGCTAACAAAGGAACCAAGATGGCCGACCGCCGCGTGGTCGGTAGCCGAACGACGGTCACCTAGGAACACACTTAACTAACGATTGCAACAATGTTGCAATCGGTTAATGGGCGCCACACGACCTCCTGTGTGTGGTCATCCATTCGGTAGGTGATTCGTTTCACGAACAGTGTTGAAACTCACTGTTCGTGAAACTAGAGTATGAATGCTGGGGGTTTCCATGCCGCCAGCATACGAATGCCCTCATTCGCCTGAAATGCAATTACAATCCTACACTTGTTTCCACAGCTTTAGAAAGAATACAAACATACTCATACATTGATAGTCTCCAGTGGCTAGTTTTGCCACAGTACTTATTACCTCTTACCCCCAAACCCCATGGTACTCATTATTTCAATACTCTATGGCAGGAATAGGCTACCTCTGGCACTCCAGAAGTTGTGTACTACATACCCCATAATGCTCTTACACACATAATGCTGGCAAAGCATCATGGGAGGTGTAGTCCAAAACATCTGCAGTGCCGATGGTTGCCTATGCCTGCTCTATGTTATTCATTGCCGCACATATTTTTATATGTCTGACATAATTAAACTAACTGCAGACCCTTGAAAGTTGATCTAGGTAAGGTATCTTGGTAAGTAGTCTAGTAATAAATTCAGTGACGGATTGCTGGAATATCTCGGTGTGACGGATCGCCTGGCACCCCGACTGAGTACCTCTATCAATCGCTGCTTCCTAGTACTTGCGAGTACCATCAGCACTGCACTGGAACATCATAACCATCATAAACCCCACGATAGCCCTGATCTGGGTGAACAACATATCCAAAAATCACCCAGATCAGAGCAGGGGTTCAGGAAATTCCTGGAAGTCTCTTTTTGACCGACCGCACACATGGTTTCATGCCAAAATAGTTCCAGAGAATTAGGCTGTACGGCCAGTCTATTTTAACAGTCAAAGTAATGTTCAAATAGTCAAATGGAGCCGTTCGTGCACAGAGTGAGTGAGTGTATCTGGTTCGGTAGATTATTTCTACCGAAAGGCGCTCCGTTCGTGCAATTCTAGTCGAACCTAACTGGAGATGGAATTCCCAGTGGTGTTCGTGCCGTCGAGTGTTGATTTGAGTTCTATGCGCTCGACGACAAAACACTGCTGGACGCGTTCGACTAAACAAGATGGCCCCCGCCACTTGTTCGACTATACAAATGGCGACCATCCAGCCGTTCGTTAATTTGGCTGTGGTTTACTCCCAGCCTAGGAGGTAAATGGGCTGCACATTCCACTTGCGTGTGGTCCGACTGTTCGGTTGTTTGTTCGGTAAACAAACTTAATAAGCATAATCCATTCGGTAGCCCCATTTACCAAACCGTAGAGGGAAAAAGGCATGAACAAAGCATTTCCACAGTCCTGAAGCCAGGTCTAATACATGGGCCGTAGTCCTGGGGCAAGAGGCTGGCATACAGGCCCCTCCAAAAACTTGTGGCAAACTCACAGGAAAAGGGGAGTTTGTCACACTGAGTATTTATTTTTATTTGGTTGATAAATTTGCAGCCTTGACTAGCGTTCCCAATATAATAAGGGAAGTGTTCATCAGAAGACTTAAAAGAGAAAAATAATATTATAATAATATAAATATTAAAAGGACACTGGTCCTGTAATTGCTTAGTATCATTGAAGTTGTTATAGTGGCTGTAGGCCCCTGGTGACTAACGATTGGTTCAGTGTTAAACAGTTTTTAATATTTCGATGCTAAATGAGAGTAGCCAGTATTGGCTAAGAGTGTCAGATTTTTTTTTTTCGACCTGTGAGAGACTCCCACTGCTGGTATCAATTGGTAAGGACGTGTGTAATCTCTGCCTTAGCCATACCTCCAGTCAGGGGTAAATTGGGGGTGTCCAGTGACCCTCATTCAGTGAAAATGGTTTAGGACTGAATGGAAGGACAGTGCCAGAGGACTGCAGGCACAATAATAAATTCAATGGGATAAAATAGCTATATTGACTATAGTGTGCCTTTAATCTATCCGATTGAGTATTATCTGAGGAACTGCATCAGATTATCTATCCTTGCATGCGTCCGTAAACAGCATATGCTTTAACAGGATTTTGCAGTACATATTGTCTTGTCAAAACTTGAAGAGGGATTTTTTATGCCAAAATAGCTTGAAAAAAAGCAATTTTCAAGTAATGTATGCATTTAAATTTAAACAATTAACGCTATAATTCCCAACAATTCACTCTTTACTGAAAAATCCTGTGTGCTTTTTTTTCATCAAACACTGATTTGCAGTGAACTGAATTCAAAATAGCAAAATGTAACCTATAATAGCGACTG